TAAGCAATAATAAAAGAAGATGTGGCAGATAAATAGTGTATTGGACAGTAAATACAACAGAAGTGTGTTACACGACTTGGGAGTGTGTGTCGATTGACCAGCGTTCTGTCTATATCACTGTTAATATTTAACAGCCTCCTCGCCACGAGGGATATATGTGGTACAAGGCCGAGTTTACCATGGGTTCTCCGAGCACGTAGGCTCGGCCAAAAATATTCCCGTAGAACTCGCATAAATGGGTTCAGGTCTGTCTACCTCGCCGGTCGAAACTTTGCCCTTCGGCAAAGCGTCGTCCGGGTCTCTCTCTGCTCAAGGCAGAGAGCTCGCCAGTAACGAACAGTCTATATCACTGTTCCCCAGAGGCTTACTCTCCTACTAATTTTATAGTAAGTGGAAGAGTCCACAATAGACTCACTAGAGGGAGGACACCACAACAATATTAGAGGTGGGACAGAGACGGATAGAAGAGCAACAAAAATTGTTTAGGATAGAAAATTGTGGTTAAACCTGGACGCCCATACCTTTAAGTGTTTTTGATTGATTGATTTGATTTTTAAAACTTATTAACCATTTTTCCGTTATTTACAGTCGAAACATATTCTGGATTTTAAGAAAAAAAATCTTTTTCTTGCGATATGAATAGAGCATTAACGATTTCCTGAGAATAAAATGATTTTTCCAGATACATGTCCTATTTTTTAACCCATAGTTGGGGTGAAGAAAATGTATATATACTTGACCCACGGATATTTGTGGGTAAGTGAATAGAACGGAATCGTCTTGAATGTTCCCAGCACATAGAAGAAGAAGCTAGTGAATATTTTCTAAACCCTATTTTTTTTTTGCGTGTGTAGATATACAGTCCAACGACAATACGCGTGCAGCTAATGCTAATCGGTATTAAGCTTACTGACTCAGTAAGACTTCCCGTTATCTATTACTTTTCAATTATAACGAGATCTTCTGCAACGTTGTCTTGAAACGGATTTACCAGATTTACGATGGCTGACAAATTCCAGTAACATGCACATCTATAAAAATTCCGCCTTAAGCGCAACATCTTCGCAATCGAGAAGGCTCTAACTGAGATCCTTTGCCAGAATTTGGGTAAGTTATTTTTTTAAGGGTAAATATAAGCTTTAAGGAGCATGCGCGTTTTGTGACAGGTCATCTGTCGGTTAAAGACGAGAATTCAGGGCAACCAGTCACCAAGAAATCGCTAGGAAATGCGAGGAACTTTGGCAAACTCATCAATGAACATTCACACGATTAGATTATGTAATATTGATGATATTATTTGACGTAATGGTAAAGAAATATTACATAATCAATCTAGAAATCATTTGCTTTAAGGACTGTGGCCCGGTTGCAACATTCTCGATTTCTTTTGATCACCCAGTGACCTATATATAGATCACGCTAAAGGATGAAGCGGAGGCATGAAACTAAAAACAACCATATTGCCATGGTCTCTGTCCACATTGTTTATATCTGTGTGTGTCGTATATATATATATATATATATATATATATATATATATATATAAAAATATAAAATTACCTCAACATCAGAATAGACCGTTCCTCACCGGCTTTTGACAGTCTCCCGTCAGTCTATTCCGATGTTGAGGTATTTTTTTTATTGTAAAAAATACAAAAAGAATATATTTGCTCTGTTGAAATAAAAACATCGCGCTCTCTATGTATCAGTTTTAATAATTAATATTACTAGGATCCAGCCACAGCTTATACCAACGGATCAATTACCTGTAATATATATATATATATATATATATATATATATATATATTTCCCTCATCTTTTGTCGCCATATTTATTACAACGTTTCACTCCCGCCTTCTCCAGGTGATCGGAATGTCGAACTGAACCCTTTATTTCGCTCACTGAGGTAGACTGTTCTAGTTGCACGTGCCATGTTTAATGGATGTCAGTTATCTCCTGTTAATTTCTCTCTCTAATTTCTTCACCACTTTAACCAGGTATTGAACTCACACTCTTTGGGTCCGGTCACTGGATCTAACTAACGCCTTTCTTCACCCACTGTGCCATGTGTCCTTCAGGACATCTGTGTATGAATTTCTGAGTATTATAAACCTAATGTCTTCAGCAACCGTTTTTTACCAGAGCTCACATTGCAATTTTTGTGGTTATTATTGCTCCGATACTCCTAATTACTGCTTCTCATATTGTATTAATTCCTATGTTTGGTCGGCTCAGGAGATTTTTGTGGCCTAGCATATGTGCTGATTCCTTAAGTTTACGAATTTTCCAATGGTGTTCATTGTCTATGATCTCAACCTGACCCAACAGAGGGCGGTGATCTTTCTTTTCTCTCCATGACCACATGGTCATCCACGCTTGATTTTTTCCACTTCCCCTTGTGTTAGAGTTTTCTGGTGTTCTTGAAGCCTTGCCTTGAAGGTGGCGGCCTGTCTCTCCTTTATATTTCTCTCCGCAGCTGTACGGGATAGCGTACACAC